AACAATTTCGGTAAAAATCCTTTTAATAAAAGTCTTGTTGAAAATCTGTTATAAACCCAGGGGAAAACTTTGCACTTTCATTACAGTCCGTCTGTCTCTGACTCGAGAGATGATAGGCTGGAATTACCAGCAAACAGTACAGATAAAGATTAGTACGTCTCAGAATCTCACCCCATCCGCGCATCAGAGAGAGAGGGGAGAGAGAGAGAGAGAGAGAGAGAGAGAGAGAGAGAGAGAGAGAGAGAGAGAGAGAGAACAAAAACCCACCGATATAGATCTAGAGACTTTGAATAACGGCAAGCATCTAGAACAGAACTTGATCAGTCAGATACGGGTTGTATGATCTCTACCTGTGCGAAGGGGCACAAGCAGAACAACCACAATAACAAAAAGGAAAACAAAAGTTACTGCTCACAATGAAAAAAAGAAACAATGGTAACATTACAAAAAGGAACATAACAATAAATAGAGACACATTAAAACAATTCCAAAATAGCTACTCTTTCTCCCCCACCCCCTCCCCCCCTCTCTCTTTTCGTAAGTGTTTATGGCGCTTGCAACTGCATTAGGTCATAATATGAGCGCGTGGGACACATTAACATAGTGTATTTTAGTTTGGTAGGAATGATTAATTTTGAATTTTGCTCGGGTGGCGGCCGAAGCCAACTCTTATCGATTTTGGACCACCAAGGGATCTTTAACGTGCATTACTTGCCCAAGGCTCTCTCTCTCTCTCTCTCTCTCTCTCTCTCTCTCTCTCTCTCTCTCTCTCTCTCTCTCTCTCTCTTTCTTTCTCTCTCTCTGGTAGACAGGAATGGCTCTGAGAGATTGTTTAATTGTAAATGGTGACGAAGCTGCCCCGGGGCAATTTAACCTTTCAAGGATCTTCTCAGATAGAGAAAGTAGATTTGAAAAAGAGGTCTATACTTCTTTAAGGCATCTTGGTCTAGGTTCTGTTTTGAAAAAGAGGTCTATACTTCTTTAAGGCATCTTGGTCTAGGTTCTGTTCGGCTTTTAAAAAAAATTGCAAAGGTTTTGCAAGAACAATTTTTAACGAATCTTATACTAATCTACACATTAGAGAATCAGTCATGAATTTGGTAATGAATGGGGCCAGTTCTTCTTCTTCTTCTTCTTCTTCTTCTTCTTCTTCTTCTTCTTCTTCTTCTCCTTCTCCTTCTCCTTCTCCTTCTCCTTCTCCTTCTTCTCCTTCTTCTTCTTCTTCTTCTTCTTCTTCTTCTTCTTCTTCTTCTTCTTCTTCTTCTTCTTCTTCTTCTTCTTCTTCTTCTTCTTC